ATCAACCACCGTTCTGCACATGCGCGAGTCACGTGATATTGGCGATCACGTGACCCCCTCCGTAGCGTTCTGTCACAAAAGTTGAAAGATTTTTCTGAGTTTTATATTTCTTTCCATGTTAGTTAATTTTTATGGCAAGAACAGTTCATATGTTAGAAATGGTCAAATCTTGGCAACAGAATGGGTGGATATGAATATCCTTTCCAAAAATAAAAATGGCGACTATTAAAACACAAATCTTCTGTCTCGGAAGAGACCTTTATTCAAGGTGGATAGAGAGTGGGTGCCTCCTTTTTATCATATCTAATATGTTTAAAATCAAAAATAAACGATGTCTCAGGTATTTAATAATTATATTCCTGTTCAAATGTTCAACTATTTTTCAAAGTGTAATTTGGTGGTCTTTGATAGCAAATTGCTTAATTAAAAACACATATCTTTTCAAACTTGCTTTCACTGGGCAAAATGGCAAGTATCATTTTTAACCCTCTGCCTTCCTTCACTAAAACGATCAATCCAATCATTAATTGAATTTATAGGAACTCATTTATCTTAATAAACTGTGTACAAATTATTATATGATACTGCAGAGGGATTTTTAAGATATGCAATAAAATGTACAGTCGTTTGTTGAACGAGTTCAACAGAGACAACCATTTTTCGTCGCAAGAGACCTACATAGTGACGTCATTTTCACATTGTGACGTCACAAATAAGGAGAAAAACTTTATTCAGCATTGGCTATTTATAGACCTTGTGTATGGCTCAGGGGCGTAGCAACCGGGGGGAGCAGGGGGGGCCTGCCCCCCCCCCCCCACATTTTTTTCCCAACCTTACTCATACTATAGGAAATGTTAATTGAAAACCTGGTTGGCCCCCCACTTTTAGTGATGTACCGAAAATGTAGTATAAGAATTGGTACTGAAAGTAGTTGACACTGAGAAAAAGTTATCCCATACCCCACCACCACCCCCACATATTTTTATATGCTTCCTATATTTAACTTTTTCCAATTTTCACATATAGTAAAGTTGTCACATAAAAGTACAAAATGATACAAAAACTAAAAGTTTTGATCGTTTATTAAGAGAGAAATAATACTTTTTACGGATTATTATTAATTTAACTTACATTTGAAAATTTCGTCTAGTCTTTGATTGCGTAAAAATTATACCTAAATTCAATGTTCTAAAATAATTTTGATAGACAAAAAAGAAGATATTTTCATACGCCACCATTCCGCCAAAAATATAGTCCCTGCTGGTTTTCAAACACAGTTTACCATTTCTATTTAAAGTTGTATAATTGTGATGAGGAAAGAAAAATATGGTCTTTTAAATCTCTTACATCTAAATATTTAAGACATATCAACAAATGTACTTTGAATACTACCTCTAGTCAAAAACCGTAGAAAAATCCTACCTGAAAATTGATTTTAAAAAATCAGTTGAAACTCATGCCCCTTCAAACACACATAGTAATTGTCAAAAAATAATAACAAAAACGGATATATATATATATATACATGTAAGTCAGTAATATATATTGCGAAATCTACAAGATTCATTTATGAATAGCGGCATTTCTGGTTTGTGGATTTATGTGTCAAATGTGAAAATCTTAGAGGGTGTAGTAATATTGAAGTGTTTGAATTCTATTTCTTACTTGGCATGTGTTGTATGTTATCCGAGTTTCTTTTCTATTGGACTTTACTGACCTGGACAGAAAAGTAAGACGTAATTTATTAATCTTTAATAACTTGTGAGGATTTTGTTCTCCTTGTAATGATTGGGAAATAATGAAAAAAATCCGTCGGCAATTCGGTGTGGAAATAATGGTCTAACAATAAGTATGCCAGCATTTGGCTCAATGATAAATTGTTTTTGCTGACAATACCATTGTATCGACCATTTGATGACTTTAAACGAGACTGCTGATATTCTTGTTTCAGCATCTTGTTTGTCAATAATTTACTTCGTTTTAAAAATTGGTCATGCGTAGAGCATGTTCATATAATTTCGGAAAATGTTCGAGAAAAAAACAAATAGCTCCGTAGGAAAGACTCTTAATTTAATATTAAAGGACGACGTTAACTCTGTGCTTCAGATGATAGAAACTGGGCTTCAGATGATAGAAACTGGTTGCCATAATGTACAAAACCTATAATCAAACATTGATCTTAATAACTATATAACAGTTTTATATAAAAACCAAGTTTAACGTTTAACAATTTGAAATTTGAAGAAAATATGCACGAACTTATTCAAGATCAAAACTCCATAAAACAATACAAAATAGCAAACACAGACCTCCAAAACATCAGAGGTGGGATCAGGTGCCATGAAAGAGTGAGCATCCCCTGCTGATCGGTCACACCCGCTGTGTACTCTTTGTTATGATCGGGAAATAACGGGAAAATCCGTCGTCAATTCAGTGGATATAACGAACAGTATTCAATATCAAAGTCCATAAAACAATACAAAAAATAGGAGCAGAGCAAACATGGACCTCCATAACATAGGAGTAAGAGTTGCGATTCTTTGCCATGGATGAGTGAGCATCCCCAGCCGACCGGTTTCACCCGCCGGGTGCTCCTTGTCATGATCGGTCGTCAATTCGATGTATAAATAATGGTCTAACAATTAGTATGAAAAACGTCAGTCAGCATTTGACTTAATGATAATTTGTATTTGCTGACAAGGTTGTTGTATCGACCACAGAATTACAAAATTGTGACTTTAAACGAGACTGCTGATATTCTTGTTTTAAACGATTTTTTTCAAACAATTTTATTTTGAAAAATTAATATTTTTGTGTTTTGCTACTTCAGAATTTGTCATATTCCACTAAAAATTGGTAGATATTATAAAAAGGACATTGGAAATTCGGATTAGTTAATAGCAAAGTATGTTTATTTATTATTTTGCAACACAGCCCATTTTTATTATATTTCATTTATTATATTTTGAGAATAAAGAAAATATTGGTATAAAAAAAATTATTTGGGTATTTTCCGAGAAATAAAACAAAATAAAATCAAGACAATATATCTAAAAAAAAAAATACATTGATAACATTCAATTTCTATACAAGCAGAATAGGGACAATATACTTATATAAGCTACTTCAGAATTTGTCATATTCCACTAAAAATCGGTAGATATTATAAAAAAGGGCATTGGAAATTTAGATTAGTTAATAGCAAACTATGTTTATTTATTATTTTGCAACACAACCCATTTTTATTATATTTCATTTATTATTTTTTATATTTTGAGAATAAAGAAAATATTGGTCATAAAATATAAATGTGGTTATTTTCCGAGAAATAGTCATGTTTATTGGAAATAAAATAATAACATAAACTGTCTCCTAGGAAGCTTCTAGTTAAACAACTTCGTATGTAGCATTTGATAAAGAAATTATCGTTAATGACATTATCTAAAATGAATAATGTTACATGTATATACTCTTGAATTTTCACATATAGGCATTCTGACAATGTATATAAACATGTGTTAAAACAAAGAAAATCTTTTATAATTGACACTCATTTTCAGATTTTTTTAAACTCTGCTATTGCTTTTGGTCAATTACAATTTCATGTCTCTTACTGCATCTTGTAAAACAAGGGAAAATATTATAATCCTTGACCGAATTAACATCATTGGTTATTAATGAAATGAAGAACTACTTAATTTTCCTTTTTAAAATATGTATGATGGATGGCAAGTGCGCGACTTGAAAAGGCAACGTTTTTCAAAATCATCCCAATAGACCTTCTGATTTGGATGTGCTGGAGCGCAATCATTGATCACTGTGGTACCATTATAAAAACAAGTGATAAATTTCTCACAGTTATAGCAGTACTGATAGTCTCCGTGCATGTCACCAAGACATTTATCTTTACACTCTAGAAAAAAAGGAAGGAAATTTTTTATTGTTCTATCAACAACTTTTTAAATTCTGACATTCAATGCAAGAACTCCAAATGCATGTTTTTATCAAATTTTTACTTACTTATTAAATTAGATATTCTGTAGGGAATGCCCATGATTTCGTCTTTCAGTCCATCAAACTCTGTAAACATTTGATGTAATTGATTAACATGAATTAATTACATGAATTAGTATCAAAACTAAACATGATTGCATAACGGATTTGATGATTGTCTATTCTGTTTGATATGTTTCATTAAGTTTGTAAAATTTCCTGTAGGTTTCCACTTTCAGTACATCGAAATCTGCAAACATTTGACGTAGTTAGTGAAATATGAAGACTATATAAAAATTTGATATTTACCTGTTTTGTTTGGAACAGTCAGTGAAAACAAGTCGATGCTCGTCTTTATTTTATTTGAAAAGTCTTCTAGATCTATTTTCATTAAGGAAAAAAACATATAAAATGATTTAATTTGATAGGAAAGTTGTTTACACCAAATGGTCGCAATAACTTTGATGATATTAATATAATCATTAAAAATTATAGAAAAATATAAATTTTACGAATATAACTTGTAAAAATATAACCAAGTTTTTCCTTTCTACGCGATAAATACTACATAATTATGTCTATTGTTTATGTTCTTTGTATTCTTATACTTCTCTAACTTGGTTTATATTTGGAGGGGCAACATTTTTATCCTACCATTTTTTAAACCACCAACACGATTCATTACGTCCTCGTTGCTCACGTTCGACATAACTTGCTGCAGGAACTGCCCGCTACTCAATTTTTCGTCTACATCGGAAGGAAGGTTCTCTCGAAGACTTCTTGTGCTGAAAACACTTGCAATGGCTGCTGATAAAATAGCACAAACCAAAATCATGCAGAATAGAACCATGTATTTCTTTGCATGTCGACCTGTCTTTTTAGGAAGTTCCATCTTTAGATAAAAATCAAGAAATAATTTTTCAGTTTAAAATTATTGGAAACTGTTCTCTAGAATAAAATCCAGATGTCTCCCAAATAAGATGTGTGATAAATGTGTACCTGGTATTGTATTATTGGAGGATTATTTGCAGTCGCTTTTCGAATCCCATGCACATCCGTATCCAAAGTCTACAATCAATTGTTGATAAGTTAGTTTTGTATACAATGGATTTGATACTAAGTTAGGTTATAATTTTTTTCCCATTCATGAAACCGTTCTCACCGATCATTGATAAAGCATTAAATTCAAATACTATGAATTTTGTTACATTTCTTTTATGGACATATTCAAGGTATAGGGGCTATTTACTAATACGTATTTATATATTTCAAAAACACCTGTTACAGGTCGTCCCCATGGCGCAGTAGTTAAAGCGTATGTTCTAGAATTGCGAAGTAGGGAGTTGATCCTTACGTCGCGGGCTCTAATCCCACTATGGGGCGTGGAAACCGGTCCTTAGGATGAGACCGTATGAACAAAGGTCCCGTGTCGCAGTTGGAGCTGGCATGATAAAGATCCTTCACTGCTCTATGGCCTTGAGTGCCGAGTATAGGAAAAATTTGTAGTTGTCCACTGGCAAGTGGTGGCGTCTCCATATGAGTGAAAAATTCTCGAGAGGGACATTAAACAATGTACAATCAATCAATCAAAAAGTTCATACTCAGATGAATTTTTTTATGTTTGTTTTCTAGTTAGTAATTAATCATTCATAGCAATTTAAGGCTTTACCCTGCGATGTGCCAAGTCGGAAAAAGAAATTTCTGTAGCAATGCTGTTGCATCGTTCAAGTTCGATATGACGTGTACACTAAAAAATAAATATTTATCTTTAATAGTACGAATTCAATTGCAGGAACATACAATACGCGTTAGAATAAGTAATTCTGTAATTGCAGGGCTTAAGTATTGAAGTTTAGGTACAGTGAATAATTTCTACGTATCAACCACTATCTAGAGATATATGTTCTTTTGATTTAGAGATTTAAAATTAAAACCTACCTCTTCTAGGTCCAGGTACGTATGGGAGGAAGCATTGCTTCTAGCAGAGTCTTTCTTATAGGTCTAAAAATAATTTTAGAAATTTAAAAAACACATGGAAAAAATGCCCCATAACATATTACCATTCACTTCCCTGTTTTCATGTGTTCGAAAAGTTACTGAAAATGTGGAAGATATTTTCAAAAGTATGCAAATTTTTAACACTTTGCCTTTGCCTTATTTTGCCAATTTTTCTCATCTACGGCTGTGGGTTTTTTTTTTCTAATTATTCATACCCAAAAACGAACCAGTTTAAGATATTACCTATTTTTTTTACTTACCTTACAACTCGCATAGCTACTGCTATTCGTGCTAATTCTGTGATCGTCCACGTGACGTTTCTGTAACGTGATAAAAATCTGTCAAACTTCAATATCGTTTTGTAGTGACAAAAGGTCAAGAAAGGTATGATCAGGTAAAAGGAATACTCGTTAGTAAAATTTTGTTTTAAAACAAATATGTCAGTCGAAAAAGGACCTAATGATGGGTTATGTTTACTAGAAAAATCATTCTAATGACCATTGAATTTACGAAATACTGACTTTAAATGAGGTTGTTGTATGCCTAGTGACATCAATTTATGTGTCACTAGCATGCCTTAGTTTCACTCGATATAGTCGACTCGATATACCCCAATGGATTCGAGATAAAAGACACCAAAGAGCCTGTCACATCTGTTCATATTTGGGTGTTTAAACGACTATAGACGATAAGGACCAACTGCGTTGCAACAAATTTGCATGTAAAAATATAAAAACGATGGACCATCTTTTATACATGTATATTTTTCATCTCAAATAACACGGTCTCTTCATAGTTAGATGCGTAATTGATTTGTCTTTATCTACTTCAAAAACGATCAAGAAGCCATGACACCCATATTATATACGTAATTCGTTTCTTTGTCGACAGTTTAAAAACAATGACAAACATCAAAAGTGTATATTGGTACTACTTACTTTTTTGGAAGCTTTGAAAATTTTTGAATGATACTGAAATTAAAAAAAAAATTGAATACAATTCCAATTTTCCCCTACTAATCAACTGCTTATTCTCTTTACATTGTACTTACTTTGAAAGGAATAAATCTTCGGCGTTTCTTCTGTAAATAAAAAGGCAAATTTCTAGCAGTGATTGTGTTATATAAATGGACTGCCGCCATATTGATAGAAAATTGATTGTAAAAACATCAGATATATACATAGAGTCATGTGTATCAAATATTAAGCTTTATTAACATCATGAACTTTTAATTGACTTTTGATGAAGTGTTTAAGACGAAGTTTAAATTTTTCTTTTATTTTCATCCAATCTTTCATTAGATTTAAACTTGACAAGAAATTTAGTACCAAAACAAATACAATTCATCTATTACCGTCTTAGATAAGTGCATTGAATTGTTCAATAATTAAATAATACCAATTCTTTTTTTTCTTTAAAGACTGGTTTTATTTTTGAAATCACAGCTGCTTCTAGTTTGTACAAAGCCACAGCTCTATTAAGGTCTAATTTGTAATTATTAGTAACACTAGTAATATTGTACTGAAATATTCTTTCAGTATTTTTTGTATTGAAGTGTTTTATTCTGTACTCCTTATATTCTGTATAAAATCTTATGAGCCTTTGGCTAAAGGAATAAAGAAACTGAACTGAGGTCGATTTTTTTCCTTGTTTTATAGCATATTTTTGTCACCTGACTCTGGGTAGGTCCTATATTGTTTGCTGTCCGTTGTGAGGTAACGGAGTTCTAAAAGTAAAAAATAATTTACAGTAATCAAATATTTAAATGAGTTATATTTGTGTACAAATGCAACTTGACAGTTCAATGAAATATTTGAAAAAGTATCAAATTTATGACATTTTCCTGTTTGCTGCAAAGTTTCTTGTGACATTTTCAGGATCATTTTATTCATTTTACACAATGACTTCGTCAGCAAATATAACCTATAATCATTGAGTTGAATGCTAGCTACTGGCATTTTTCAAACTAATTGTTAGGTCATCATTTGCACATTGTATTGTCTACGTCGTCCTAACATGACAAGGAGCACATGATCGGTCTGACCAACCGACAGGGGATGCTTACTTATCCATGGCACCCAATCCCATCTCTGATGCTTTAAGTGGTCCATATTTACTCTGCTACCAATCTGTATTGTTTCTATGAACTTTCAGCTTGATTACTTTTTGTAACTTCCTTTGTTTCTATTTCAAAAAATGTGAGAAGCATAAAAGATGCCGGTGTTGTAGAGCAAATCTTCTACCATAGTATAAATTCTCTCAGGCTTTTTGCTACACCGTAAGGAATTACATGTGGGGATGTGGTTTCTACATCATAGCAAAGTTCTTTTGCATGGCAGGTTTTCCTACATCCACGTTATCGGTTTAATTTTAACCCTTCCGTGAAATAAGCGAAGAAACTATTTCATTTTTTCCTTGTAGAAATAATTTTGGCAATCAACCTAATTCGAAATGACATTTGACGAGTAGTATGATTGTTACTGATCTCAATTAAGTATCATAACATGTATGCAAAACTTCACATATAAAGATTATGGCATGTGAAAAGTTGCAATATTCTTTTCCATTTGTACTCTACTATTCTCCATTGCGTGTTGTTTAATTTTTCATTGGTTTTGTATAATTTTTAATTGTATTATATATATTTCCATTTGTATTGAAAAAAATTGTATGGTTTGATTTTTATTTGCATTCTTTAATTTTCCATTTTGTATTGTTTAATATTTCATTTGTTGTGTATAATTTTCATTTGTATTCTATACCCGGTAAGTTACCATTTGTACTGTAAATTTTTCCATTTGTATTATATAATATTTCATTTGTTTTGCATATTTTTTATTTGTTTTGTATAATTTTTGATTTCCATTGTAAAAATTATCATTTGTGTAATTTTTATTTGTACTGTAGAACTTTTAATTTCCATTGTAAAATTTTCATTTGTATTGTAGAATGTAGAATTGTAGACTTATAGCAAGCATTGAAACATATAACATAAAGATAATGAACAGGATCAAAAACCCATAAAGCAATACAAAATGGGAGCAGAGCAAACAAGGATCTCCAGATCATCAGAGGTGGGATCAGGTGCCATGGAGGAGTGAGTTTCTACTGTCGACCGGTCACACTCACCGTGTGCTCCTTGTCATGATCGAAAAATAACGGAAAAATCTGTCGTCTATTCAGTTTATAATGGCCTTACAATTAGTATGAAAAACGTGAGTAAGTTTTTGACCCCATGATAAATTGTACTTGTATTTGCTGACAAGTTCATTGTGTCGACCATAGAACTCCAGAAATAAAGACTTTAAACGATGTTGCTGATATTCTTGTTTCATCAACTTGTTTGTCAATAATTTAACTCGTTTTGGAAATTGTTCATATGTAGAGCATGCCCTTGCGTATCGAATCAACTCAGATATATAAACTCCGTATGAGGTGATATTGCTGCATTACGTTTATCATAACTTGGTTGTTAGATTACCATTAACGTCTTTTTCAAGTAAAATATCCAAATATGAAACAGACGTGTAAGACTCTGTGGTATCTTTAATCTCAAGCTCTGCGGGATATATCGTATCGACGTAGGAATGGAAATTATCATTGTTAATTGACAATACGTCGTGGATATATCCAAATGTCGAGTTAAAGGCCAGATCAAGTGTTTTCTTCTTTTCACGCATAAGATTTTGCGCATCTTCTGCTTCATATGGATACAAAAATAGGTCTGAGATTGTTGGAAGACCAAGTCCTCAAAAACAACATACCTAACCAGGTAGATATTGTCAATCAGAAAGTCAAGCATCTTTTTGATGTCAACTTCAGAGTACTTGTGTGTACAATCAGAATGATTTTAACAAAATGATTTTGCAAATGAACAATGACAAGATAAGTAAATTTACGATGAGTTCCATTTTTATTGAAAAAGCAGTTTACTTAGTTTAAAGTCGATACAATGACCTTGTCAGGAAATACAATTTATCATTGAGTCAAATGCTGACTTACGTTTTTCATACTATTTATCTCAGATAAGTGCATATAAAAAACATCAAGTATGTATTTAATAAATTTTATTGTGGCGAAAATTGGGTCCATCGAGATACTAATGGTTCAATCCCCTTGACAATGGCTGTTCCCTAAGGTCCTGGCAAAACTTTTAAATATATATTTTTAAGTTTTGAATTTACCGGGTGGCAGTAAATACAAAATTTACAACATGACAGTTTCATCCCGTAAGTCCTGTCATGTTGAGCTTGATAATCACTGTAAGTCTTCGTCTGAAAGCATTAAAAACCAGAAAAGCAGTATCTATTCTAAATGGGTAAGGTGGGTGGGTGTTTCAAATTAATAATACACAATAACAAGCTGGAAAATTTTTACCGACCCAAGATGATGCTGGAATATTGTAAAAGGAAGTTGCAACCAAAGCGCCCTCAGGTGTTTTTATTAAAAGGGGGAATAATCAACTAAAATATTTCACAAGAACGATAATCACTAGGAATAAGTACTGAGATTTAGGTAACGCACTTAAATATGCACTTCCTTCGATAAAAGCAGCTAATTCAGAGTGAATTAGCTTTGAATATTATCTCAGATAAGTGCATATAAAAAAAAAAACATCAAGTATTTATTTAATAAATTTTATTGTGGCGAAAATTGGGCACGGCTGTTTATCCAGAGACACAAATTATGAAAAGCTAATGTGTCTCTGGCAACACAACAAAGCAAATATTACATATTAAACATTCAAACTCAGGTTCAAAGGTCAAAGTTCACAAACACCATATCAGAAAGTGGTAAAAGCCTTGACCCTGGGAGGTGCAGAGGTCAAGCACTTATTTATGTATATCTAAATCCAAAGTTTACTTTTCAACTTTCAGTGACTGCATATAATGATAGTTACTTAGTGCCGCTCGTTTACGCCACAAGTTCCCAACCACAAGTTATTGTGGTAGGGAACTCCGCCACCATATGGGTGGGGATAGAGCGGCAGAAGTAGCCATGCCCAAGCCAATATCTATCAGGATTGATTTTTTTTTTGTAATTTAATCAATATTTTATTATGTAAAGTAAGATTACATAATTGGATTGGACATCAGGCATGGCCTATATAAGTCCTCTCCAAGGTCAAGGTTACAAATGTTAAGTACTGACAATAAATTACAATGATGAAAATATTCCTTATAAGTTACATTAAAATTCTTTTGTTAACTAACGGTGGGAAAAAAGGAAATAAATTGAATTAAATTATACAGAAGAATTATTACTAAGCTTATGCATATTTGCTATACAATATAATGACAAAAAAATAAAA